AGAACGAGAAGAGACGACTCAAACGACCGACGTGGCATCGATTTGGAACCCGGAGATAAGGCCCGGTCGCGAGTAGTCCGCGGCGGAGGTCCTCGTCGACGCTCCGCCGCCGGCGACGACGCCGCCGCGCCCCAGCAGCAGCGCCCGGCGACATCGCGCGAAACTAATGATGCGCGCGCGCGGTCGCACCCGACCGACAGCTCTGGACAGCTGGTCGGGTACCGCGCCGGAGCACGCGTCGCCGTCGCCGTAGCCGCCGGCGTCGGAGCCGCCGCCGCCGGCGTGGGAGCCGCCGCCGCCCTGGCCGCCGTAGCCGCCGCCGCCCTGGTAGCCGTCGCCCCGGCCGTCGAAGCCGTCGCCGCGGCCGCCGTAGCCGCCGTCGCGGCCGTAGCCCGCGCCGAAGCCCGCGTCGCCGTAGCCGTCGGCGTGGGAGCCGTAGCCGCCGGCGTGGGAGCCGCCGCCCTGGCCGTCGAAGCCGCCGCAGCCCTGGTAGCCGCTGCCCTGGCCGTCGAAGCCGTAGCCGCGGCCGTCGCGCGCGTCGGGGCGCTCGGGTCCGCGGCCGCCGTGGCCGTGGTCCGCGCGCGCGTAGCCGTGGACGTGGCCGTGGCCGCCGTGGCCTTGGCCCAGGTGGGCGCCGGGCGGCGGCCCGCGGCGCCCGCCCTGCCCGCCGTACTGGGCCTGGGCGCCGCCGGAATTCAAATCATCAACCGCGTCGTGTCGGCCGCGGCGTGCGCCGCCGCCGCGCCAATCCTCACCGATGAACACGTTGGGATCGTCCAGCGGAAGTTGGTTCTGCTCGTCTCCGAAGTACATGCTGCCACGAGATCCGAAGGAATGCGCCGACGGAAGCGGTGGCGTCCTTCTCGCGTCCGGCGGCGTCCGGCGTCGTCTCGCTATCCTAGCCGGGGTCCGGGGCGCGTCCGGCTCGCGTCGGGGGCCGCGTCCGGAGGCCGCGTCCGGCGCGTCCGGGAGCCGCGTCCGGGAGCGTCCGGGAGCGTCCGGCGGCGTCCGGCGCGTCCGGGGGCGTCCGGCGCGTCCGGCGCGTCCGGGATTTTTACGCCCGCGTCCGGCGCGGGTCCGGCGCGGTCCGGCCCGCGTCCGGCACTCGGCGTCCGGCGGCGCCCGGCTACGTCCGGGGCGCGTCCGCGCACGTCCGGGGGCCGCCCGGGGCGCGTCCGGGCCGCGTCCGGACCGCCGCGTCCGCCCGGCGCCGGACGCAAAGTTCCGAACCAGGCCCCTTTAATTTAAGTGATCATTTAATCAGCCGCTAAAACGTCGCTTATGCGGCCTCGGCGAGCGCCGCGTCCCGAGCCTCGGCGTCGCGCGCCGCGGCGTCGCGCGCCTCCCGGAGCGCGAGCGCCGCGCGGCCCCGCTCCGCGCTCTCCTCGAGGCGCGCGCGGTTCGCGGCGACGCGCTCCGCGCCGGACAGCTCCCGCGGCGCCGCGGCGCGCGCGGGCGCCGGCGCGGTCGCCGGCGCCCCGGTCGCCGGCGCCGGCGCCGAGGCACGCAACGGCACGCGCCGCGGGAGGCGCGGGCGCCGCGGCCGCCGGCGGACGCCCGCGCCGACGCCCGCGCCGACGGCGCGCCTCGCGGCCGCGACGTCGTTCCCCTTCAGCCGCGGCGAGCGCTTCGTGCGCCGCGGGAACGTCCAGCGGCCCGTGCGCGCGTCGAGCCGCAAGTTCCGCGCGGGCCCGCGGAAGGACCTCGAGAACTTCGTCGCGCCGCTCCTGCGGCGCATGGGCCTGCTCGAGACCAAGGGCATGGACTGGGACTGCTACGTGGGCCTCCAGTTCACGCCGGAGCACGAGCACAACTACCTCCTCGCGCCGGCGGGGAGCCTCGTGTCGTCGATCCCCGGCCTCAAGGAGGTCCTCGGCGACAAGGAGGCGTTCGCGCGGCTCTGGCGCGGCTGCGTCGCGCGCGCCGCGGCGCTCCGCGACGCCGGCGCGCTCGGCGCCGCCGCGGCGGCGGGCCTCTGCGCCTGGACGACGCCGGCCTTCAACGCGGTCCACAAGCTCGTCGACGGCGCGCCGCGCTTCGCCGTCGAGGGCGGCGTCGACCTGTGTGCAAATCAACCAGCGAGCTGGGACGTCCTGACCAAACTTCAGAATTCTCTAGCTCGGTCACATCGAAGTCGATTCGGCTGATTTTTGGACGAGTCGATTGCTCTCGTCGAATCCTCGAAGCACAGCCAAAAAGCTTGGGTCGAACCGTTTGAATACGCGCGTATTGAAGTCGGGTTGAAGATTCGATTTCCACACAGGCATCGACGCGCTCGTCGACCTCCTCGCGCGCGAGGGCCCGTCGGCGTCGGCGCAGCGCGGGGGTGATGCGACGCCGCTGTGCGCCGCGCGCGCGCGTGCCACACACAAAGGCATCCGCGCGTCGAGGGCGCTCCGAGGGACGATCGCCCGTCCCGAAATGAGCCGGAACGAGCGGAGCGCGGCCGAGGGAGGCGCCTCGGGACTCCCGCGCCCTTTGTCCCGCCCAGGTCGACGTGGATCGTCAAGCCCCAGCGGCGCTACCTGAGCCTGGGCATGCACCTCGCGACCCTCCTCGAGGCCCTCGCGAGCGCGGGCGCCGTCGCGGCGTGGGCGACGCGCGAGACGCCGCTCGAGGAGAAGAAGCGCGCGCGCCACACGAAGCAGCCGGGCGAGTTCACGATGCAGCGCTACGTGACGCGGCCCGCGACGCTCGGCCGCCGCAAGTTCGACCTGCGGCTCTGGACCCTCGTCGCGTCGCTCGAGCCCCTGTCGGTCTACGTGCTCGACGTCGCGTTCCCGCGCGCGCGCCGCGCCGCCGCCGCCGCCGCCGCGCGCGGAGCTTCGCCGCCGCCCCCCGCAGGAAGATCTCCGTCGTCGACTACGAGGGCTGGGGCCTGCCCCGCAACGCGAGTACGCTCCCGGCCAAGTGCATGCACATCCTCATGATGGCGAGCGAGTTCTGCCTCAAGCACATGACGTTCCCGCGGCCGTGGCCCTACGACTACCCCGGCGTGACGCGGCCGGACCTCGGCGGCCTCCGCGGGGGGCGGAGCTTCTTCGAGGAGCTCCGGCTCGGCGAGGCGCCGCCCCTCGGCGGCGAGGCGGCCTGGGCGGCGTGGCAGGCCGAGCTCTGGCCCGCGCTCGAGCGGACCGCGCTCCTGCCGCTCCTCCTGGCCAAGGACGAGCTCCACGGCCACGAGGCGCGCGTCTACGGCGCGCGCGACGGCGAGCTCTCGCGGCGGTCGAAACGCTTCGCGCTGCTGTCGCCCGACGCGCTCTGGGACGCGGAAATCGGCGGCTGGCGCCTCGAGGAGATCAACACGAACGGCCTCTTCCAGCTCGGCGCGGACGAGGGCGAGGACGTCCGCACGTTCCACGTCGACGAGGGCTACACGGAGGCCTGGCTCCAGATCGCCGGCGTCGACGGCTACCCGCGCGCGCCGGCCTACGCCGCCGCGCTCGACGCGGCGCTCGACGACTTCTGCGCCGGCCGCGGCTGCGACGGCCGCGACCGCGAGGTCCTCGCGGCGGCCGCGCACGAGAACGCGCACGCGTCGAGCGGCTGGTACCGCGCGTGGCCGCCCGTGGACTGCGGCGACGCCTGCGGCGCGCGGCCGGACCTCGCGGACGACGCCGGCGTCATGGCCCTCTTCGAGGGCTCCGCGACGCGCGCGGGCCGGCTCCACTTCGACTTCCTCCGGTCCCTCGACCGGGCCTACTTCGCGTCGCCCTCCGCGGCGCGGCCCGACGACGGCGACCGCGACGCGTTCCCCCGCTACGTCGACCCCGAGCGCTAGGCGCGTCCTCGCTTTTAATACCGGTCGCCGCGGACGACGGCGACGACGGGCGCGTTCTTCGGGACGCGCGCGACGCAGAGGCGCGAGTAGCGCTCGCCCGTCCCCGTCCGCAGCCGGTGCTCGCAGGTGCCGCAGGAGCCGCCCGCGCACGAGTACCGCACGCCCCAGCCGGCTTTCGCCGCGAGGTCGACCATGCGGTCGCCCGGCCGCGCGCCGACGACGCAGCCGTTGGGCCACTCGACGCGCACGACGTCGAGCGCGCGGCCCAGCGTGAGCTCCACGACGTCCGGCGAGCGACCGATGAGGCCCGCGACGTCGTCGAAGCCGCCCTCCCCGCAGGCGGCGTCGCCGACCGCGAGCACCCGGTCGCCGACGAGCACGTCCGCGCGCGACAGCGCCGCGTTGCCGCGCGGGTCCACGCGGATGATCTCGACGCCTCGGCCGTCCTCGCGCTCCTCCAAGATGAGGCCCAGCGGCCGCGGGATCTCTGCGACGGCGACCATGAGCGGGACCTCCTCGGCGTCGTCGCTCGCGCGCAGCGGTCGCCGACGAGTCGTTCTCGATGGTGCGAGGAACGCGTCGGCGCAGACGACGAACAGCAGGACGCGACGCAATGCGAGCCGCCTCGGTCCGGACCCAGCCATGCGACTCTCCGGCAGGACGCTGCAAGTCCTGTTTGAGTCGAAGATGATGAAGATGATGCCGTTTTGCCACAAGCTTTTGCGACGATGTCCTTGCGCGCCGCCGCCGCCTGGGCCTGTGTGAAGCCGCTGCAGATCGTCGCCGGCTACGCCGCGTCGGGCCTGCTCTTCCGCCTGCGCACGGAGGAGCTCGCGACCGCCGCCGAGCGCCTGCGCTGGCTGCGGTGGACCGCCGCGCGTCTCGCGTGCTGCGGCGCGGCGCTGGCCCTGCGCGACGCGCCGGCGTTTCGCGCGGTCGTGCTCGTCGTCGGCGTTTTCGCCACCTATGCCCACAACGCCCGGGGCCGGTCGCCGACGGCGCGGCGCGCGGCGCCGGGCACCGTCGCGCTCGTCACCGGCGCGACGGCGGGCATCGGCTTGGCGACGGCCGTCGCGCTCTGCCGCCGCGGCGTCGACGTCGTCGTGCCCGGCCGGAGCCCCGAGCGGGCCGCCGCCGCGGCGGCGCGCATCAACGCCGCCGCGCGCGGGCCCGGCCGCGCGCGCGCGCTCCCGGGCGCCGGCCTCGAGCTCGACGACCGCGCGTCCGTGCGCGGCTACGCGGCGGCCGCGGCGGCGGCCGCGCCGGACCTGGCGCTCCTCGTGCTCAACGCGGGCGTCATGCGGCCGGCCTACGGCGTCGTCGGCGGCGGCGCCGAGGCCACCGTCGCGTCGAACCACCTCGGCCACTTCCTCCTCGCGGAGCTCCTGGGACCGACGCTCGCCGCGAACGCGGCGCGCGGCCGCGACTGCCGCGTCGTCGTCGTGAGCAGCAGCCTCCACCGCGTCGCGGCGCGGGCCCTGGACGCGCTGCCGGACGCCGCCGCGCGGCGCGCCGCGGTCGCCGACCTCCGGGGCGACGCGCGCGCGTACGGCCTCTTCCCGCGCTACGCGCTGTCCAAGCTCATGAACGTGCTCCACGCGCGCGCCCTCGCGCGGCGGCGGCCGGCCGTCGCCGCCATCGCCGTGCACCCGGGCTGCGTCTACACGGACGTCACGCGGAGCCTCCCGTGGCCCGTCCGCGCCGCCCACGCGCTCGCGGTGCCCTGCTGGCTCCTCTTCCAGAAGCTCCCGCCCCACGGCGCCCACGCCACGGTCCACGCGGCCCTCGCGCCCGAGCTCGCCGCGGCGGAGAACGCGGGGCGGAGCCCCTACGTCGCCGACTGCCGCGCGGAGGCGCCGGGCCTCCCGCGCGACGCGGACGCGCTCGCCGACGCGCTCTGGGGCGCGAGCGCGGCCTACGCGGGGGCGGGGTAAGCGCGATCGTCGACGATGGTGCGGCGCGTGCTTGCGGA